CTTGAAGGAAAATGATTTCTACAATGTTTGCTCAACTGACAAGTTTGACATTTGAACTCAAACACTGATACTGATTTAAATTAATCCGAAAGTAAGACCTTTAGCGACTCAAAAGATAAATGACCCAAACAACTATGCCATAAGTAAACTTGACTCATACTAGACTGACTCATAGACTCAATGACCGCAAGACTAGCTTTGTTCTCCAGCATGTAGAGACCATCCACCATACGACCTCTACCAATCATCTTCCCCAAATCCAGATCCTGTAGAACACAAGAAGGGAAAAAGGTCACTGAACAGTTTAATGAATTTGTAATGCTACTGACAGAAAACAAGTTTATAGGAAATTTCGGAACATGTAATACATTAGAAAGGGTAAGTCCAAAAGGAAGGGTTACGGTTCCTTGACCAGCTATGGTGGAAAAAGAATCATCAGCTAGTCTCACTTTGTCCCTACCATATAAAAATTTGATAGGATTGAAAGCAATTTGACTTACCTGTCATATGGTTTGAAGTTCCAAAGTCAATTATCCAAGGGGAATCAGGTGAATGGGAAGACACATGGAAGGTTGTGGCAGGATTACCATTACCTGAAGTAGATGCAAAATAAGTCAAGGCAGGAGGAGAAGAATCCATCTAGCGGATTGCTCTCCCATATAGATCCAAGTGGTCACAAAAAGAATTAATGATATCTTCCCAGGGATTGGCAACGGACGGGCGATCCTAGTTAATAGCAGTAGATGGCTAAGGCTCCTAAGAGGCCAAGTGACTTTGTTGTCCTAGCTTCTTATTTTGATCTGATTTCTTACTCAACTCTTGGGCCCACTTTGGATTTCCATGGAGGTCCCAACAAGTATCACAAGTTTGTTTGGCCTTCTAGCAATGAGTACACCATAACAAATCCTTATCATCCACTCTCTTCTGGAAGTCACCCTTCTTAAAGGAATTATTGCCTCCTACACCCATACTCCCTTTAGCCACTAAGGCAATCTGCTCCCCCTCGGAGCTATTCACCACACTTTGCCTACTCTCTTCGGACTGTACTAGAGAATACACTTCTTGTACTAAAGGAAGATCTTTACTTCTTAATATCTAAACTCTGAGGGACTCATATACAGGGTTCAGCCCCAAGAGAAAGGCAAAGACCCATTGTTGGGAAACCAAAGACTTGTAGGCCTTAGCATCAGCATCACACTTCCAATCAATCTTCTGATAGTGATCTAGTTCTTTCCAAATTGAGGTCAAATCTGAATAGTGGGCTGAGAGGGTCCTCTCCCCTTGCTTACAAGTAGAGGAGGCAGCTTGCAACTGGTATATTTTGGCATAATGGCATTGCTCAGAATAGGTAGATTTTGCCTGCTCCCAAATCTCAACAGCTGTTTCAGCCCACATGAAGGTCTTCCTGACTGGAGGTAACATAGAAAGTAACAGCCATGACATCACCATGTTGTTTTCCTGATCCCACCTATCATGCTCTTACCCCCTGAGACTCCAGTTCTTTAGTTTTACCATTAATATAGTCCACCTTCCCCCTGGCTGTTATGTATAGTTTGATTCCCCTTGACCATTCTAGGTAGTTAAGGCCATCAAAAGGTATCACAGCCACGGGGAAACTCATGTCAAATCCTCCACTTACTCCACCTTGACTGGAGAACACTAGACAGGATAGAATCCTCAGATGGCATGTTATAAGATTTAGATTCCCAGATCAGTTCTGTTCAAAATCAGTCACAGTTCAGCCACAATTCATTAACAGTTCAGTTCAGTTCCGCCACTGTTCAATTACAGTTCAGTCACAGTTCAATCCCCAATTCAGTTCAGCCACAGTTCATCCATGTTAGAATGCTCGATTCAGGGGCATTTTGGTCATTCTGGTGTATCTTATTGAAAGTGAAATGTCTATTGTATCTGAGTTTAAGTTATGTGTCCCATCTTCTCTGAGGGACAAAATTGACTTTCTTGTAACTCAAGTTTTTCATGAATAAAAGTCAAGTGGGTCGGCTAGGAGAGTGACTTTTGAACATCCTCTCTTCTAGTCTGGCCGAACACTCTTCTCTCCTTCTTCTTCTTCTTTCTCCTTTCTTTCTTCTTTCTTCTTCTCTACTTTGACCTAGAAACAACTAGGGTTTATTCACAATCACTGTTCAATCCCCAATTCAGTTCAGCCACTGTTCAATTTCAGTTCAGCCAGTCAAGTATAAATTTTTGGGATACCACATAGATCAGCTTGTTTGCACATTGCTGAAAGACAGTTCAGAAACAAAAAAGGGCAATTCTGGAGCTAGGCTGACTTTGTATGTACCCTTTTATCACTTTTCTTGGATACACAGCTACTGGAAATGTTTCCAAGATAGCCGACCACTGTCTTACAGTTACAGATCATTTAGACCTACACAGCCCAGTTGTCTGGGTAAAAAAAAAATTCAGGATCACACGATCCACAGTTCAAAGAGACCTATCAGGTCATCTAGACCTCCAAAAACCCACTTACCTGGGTACAAGAGAGGATCACACGATCCACAGAAGAAAGATCTATCTTCGCATAATCAGATTTCCCTTCCTTTAAGGGTTTCTTGGCACACAGACAAGGAAGAAGAGAAGAAGACTAGTAGAACCCCCTTCAGATCAGTCCGATCTGCTTCTTGATCAAATTCGATCCACAGCAAGGAGAAGTCAAAAAAGGAAAACTTAACACACTCTTTCTGATCTTAGAAAACCTGCTCTGGTACCATGTTTTCCAGGCCAGAGATATCAGAGGAGGAAGAAAGAAGAGGATGAGAGAAGAAAAATTGGATTCAAAACTTATGGCTGGCGGCACCAGCTATTAGCTTTTATATTAGGGCGACCCAACTAATAATAAAGATAAGATCATAAGAGGAATTACAAGAGTGCCCCTGCAGCATTAAAGAACAGAAAAATAAATAAAAAACAAACTGATTTCAACATCTATCATATGCTTTCTCTAGATCAATGAACACCACATGAAGACCTTTCTTTTTCTCTCAAAACTTTTCTATCAGTCTTCGCCAAAGAGAGGATTGGAAGTACTACACTTATATCGAGATAGAAAACCACAATATCAGTTTAACATAGAATCTCGGAAAAAATGAAAGAACGAAAGGAAAAGTGAAATTTAAAGAGACAGGGAGGCACAAGAGTAGACCACTCTCTACCCCTGAAGCTTTCACAAAAAATGTTGCCAACAAGAAAAAGATATTATAGTCTCTTCACTACTGCACAAAGAGAAGAGTCTCAAAGTAGCAGAAAATGATACTACATTGACTTGGCAAATAAACACTAAACACCCCTGGGGACAGTCAACCTACCTTAGGAATATTCCAAGCATTGCACAAATCCCAAAACTTAATTCTAAGAGTTCCACTTCTCTCCATAAGCCATTAAACAAACACAGCCAAAAAGAATAACAAAAGTAGCTTAGTAATCAAAAAAATCAATCCAATGATCAAAGCAAGCAGAAACTACAAAACTGCCACTAGGACCAAGAAAATGGAGAAACAAGATTTCTCTTGTATGGATGAGAGAACTTTTGATTTGATTCTTCACAGCCCATGTTTATGTGGACCACACTTCTGGTTTTTGCCAATTTTCCTGTCATCCTTTAGCGAGCTAGGAATGAGGCCAGAAATTTACAGGCCTTTTCTTCCTTGTCTTAGATCTGATGACCTTTTGGACACTCAAAGAGGGTCAAATCAATCTAGTGATGATGCATATTCTACTGCATCAGTCTGCACATTGCATTTTAGATTCTCTATCTTGTTTTACCCATCTTTATCTTCAAGCTCTCATCTCCCCCCCCCAATGAGAAAATATTATTATGTCCTCACCCAAGAAGGATAAACTAGTTCTTACACTATGATGATGAGATCATCTCTACATCCCATACCTTATCTATTTCTACTCAATTAACTCAACTCCTCCCGAGGTTTTGGGACCAACTCCCCAGGCTTGACAAGAAATTTTCATTTTTTTCATTTTTTAACTTATTCTTTCTTCTGGGGGGAGAGGGAAGTTGTGGAAGAGGTGTTTTGTAGCTTAGCAATCTACTGTAGAGGTTTAGATTCTCCAGTACAATCAGCCAAGGACAGGAAACACCCACAGCAAGCTGAAGCTCACATTCTGCAAACAAGCATCCACTAAAAAATAGAAGCCCGTGTGTTGGTTCCTCAATACTACTATACTACCATCAAAAACAGGAACCAGTGACACAAACCTCCCAATACAACAGACAACCTAAAACTGAAGAAAAACCCATCCAAAAAAAAGCAAAAAGAATTTGATTAGACTCCAACCCTTAAAGGGTCTAAGAAGTATAATGCCAGCAAAGTGAAGCCATATGGAGAGAAGAAATCTTTCAAAGTTGCTCTTTCTTTTCTTTTTTCCCTTTTGTTTTTCATTTATTTTTTCTTAAAAAGTTACATTTGGATTTTGGACAGGATTGACATGTTAGCATTATTGTTGTGATGTCTGTAATAAACTTACAATTTTTTTTTAGGAAAAAAAAAAGAAAAAATGTAAATTTTGGGGCAATGTAGCAATCTAATACATCTTTATTAGAAAAGATCCAAATAATGAAGAAAATCAACAATTTCTCGTCTGTAATTTAATACTTAGGCTGTGTTTGGTTGCAATGCAAATCTATTTGAACTGATGCAAAATATGGTAGTGAAAATAATTTGGGTGCAAATTCTGATTTATTTTTGCTTCAAATTTTACCTCATTTTGTTTGATAGCAGTACAAATGAAGATAAGACCGAAAGTAGAATAAAACAAAACCCAAAACAAAATAAAGTAAATTTACATTTTTTTCATTTGCATTCTCATGCATTTGTACTAGTGCAAATAAAATTGCACTGCAACCAAACGCAACCTTAGTCGTGGGTTCCAGGGAACATTGAAGAAAATCCTTGGGGTTGGCATTGCCATATAAAACCATCAAGATAAGAAATGAAACCACATAAGCAAAAAAGAAAGAAAACCTGGTGGTATATGTTGGCACTGGCATCTGTACTAGAACCGTGTTTGCAGTTATGCTTGAGGAGAAGTCAGCACGTATCTTAAGAATCACCTCAGCCTAAGGCAGGAAAAGAAAGTTTTAAAACCTTATCAAGATTATAAGATATTACCATCCAAACTACGATAATTTCTAAGAAAAAAATTGTATTCACCCTAAGGGATCCTGCTTCTTCAATCAAAGCATTGATACGAAAGGGAGGTTTAAATTCCTGGGTCATACGGTAATTCATTACTGGAAATTCACCATCAGGAGCTACCTGTAAAACAAAAGTTGGATTGAAGAAACAAGTTAGCAGCTTCAGTAATAGAAATGCAATCTAAAAACAAACTGCAGACTACAGTATCTCAATTTTACTCACCAAAGTCAAAGTTCTGTCTACATCAAAACTATCAAGATGTACAGATTCATGGAAATTACAATCATCTAGTATCACCGTCCCTGCTCCAGCAGAACTACTATAACCTGTTGCAAAAAATAGCACCAATGACACAATGCTAGGAAGAATTGTAAACAAATAATTGCCAAGATCTTTCCTTAGAGAAATAGAGAACATTGGATGTGCATACACCAGATGGATGACAAATACCCTAGCTGACAATAAAATATATAATTAAAAGAGAAAGGATGGACCATGCACCTCCATCAGAAAACTGAATGAGGACGACGAAAACAAAATGGAGACTGCTACACCTTTTACTTCATGTTTCAAATATAAATCATAAAACCCTCTAGGCATCATTTTCCAAATCCATACATGTTGGAATAATAACTTTAAAGCATCAGAATAATGGAAAAACAGTCTACAGATGCAAAAAGTAACATCTATTCGTAGTATATTAGATTGTAAACCCATAGAAATACCATATATAGACCTCCCATCTCTCCCTATGCTCAGGTCTTCATTAAGGGCTAGACGGATTTCTGGGTTGCCAGTAAGATAACTCTTCATTTGAATGGTTCCATCAATTTCAGAAGTAAGTATGTAACCCTGTTTAACCAATATAAGATTACATCAACCAGGTTTTACTCAAGAGGAACTAAGAAAGGGCAAATGAAAATTAAATTATAGAATTAGAGTTCATCTAGAAAATCAAAGGACCTTGGCAGCCATTAATTTACATGCACTACTAACTGTCAAACAAGATGTATAACAAAGAAATTGAGTTCTCATAGAGAGATGTGGATGAGAAAGATTCTGTTAAACCTACTTGTAGTTGGCATATAACAAAATTCTCTTAAAACATATCTAAATCATATCACATGCAATTTATATTTCTCATAATTTCTGTAAGAAAGTCTGAAGTGGCAGATCTATTACAATTATTCATCTGGTAGGTATGCATCTCTGGACACTTTCCTGCTACATGTACCAATGACCTAATTTTCTTACGAGTACAGAACTGAATTTTATTAATTACAAAATGAAAATGAGTACATTAAGGCAGGAAAGCCCAAATAAAAAGGCTATCCTCAGCTAACCTTCAAACAAAGTTGCTTTACTACAACCTGTCAACTCCAATAAAATCTACAGATATCAGCTTAGTGTTGGGTAATTTCCTAATGAAACAACAATCAGTATGCATACAGGAGCATGGGGAGCAGTCTAAAACTTAGTAGGGATGCAATAAAACAGAGGGAAATAGGACAACTAGCAAGGACAGAAGAGATGTAATGTAGCAAGAACCGATAGAGCAAATCATATCCATATAAGATTTCATTGATGCAACAAATGAACTATGCAGGAACTGTACAAAACTCAGAAATTCAAAGATAGCCATAATAGATCAATAATTGTGGCTCCACTTTCTGAGGCTAATACATAATTTAGACATTGTTCAGTAAGGCTGATATAAGTGAGTCCTAGAAAGAAGGATTTTGTCAAACTTTGAAACAAAAAGGAATCATCCATAAATGAAAGATACCAAATTTTCACAAGAATGAGCCTATTAATGCATTAATTTCACTTGGTGTTTGCTCCATACGAAAAGAAGGGTATCACCCAAGTAGATCATCAATGTAGCAAAAACTTGGATGATGAATTTATCTGTTGAAGTTTGACCTGCCATAGAATTCTGTCTTGTTCGTTGACTGTAGAGTAAAGTAGACAGCAAGAAGTAGGAG